ATTTGCGGTGACCACAGGCATTTAAGGAACTGATACTCTGGATTCTCCAGCTATGAACACATGACTGGGACAGAATTTACACTCAGCAAATACAGCCTGGCTGGGTAGAAACTGGCTGGCAGGGTAGATTTAGAAGTAGGCTCCACAAAACCAACCCCTAGGTTATGAGGTAGACAAATTCTATCTTAGAAAGAAGAAAAAGGGAAAGAAGAGGAGAGAGGAAGTGAGGGGGAAAGGAAGAGTGGAAGGGAGGGAGAAATGGAGGGAAGAATGAAGGAAAGAAAAGGGAGGAGGGAAGGAGGGAGGGAGGGGGATCAAGTCTAAGGAATAAATGCAGATCTGGAAGTAAAAGGAAATGAATAAGTGAGACAAGGATGGTAAATCAGAGAAATAAATAGAAAAAAAGAAGAAGCAGAGAGAAAAGGTGGGGAGAGAGGAGAAGGAAACAGGAAAGACGAAAAGAAAAAGCTGTGAACAAGAACAGACTGAGACTCCAGGCAGGAAGAGACGTAACTCACATCTCTAACAATTTTATTGTAGACTTAGAGAATATATGGACACAAAAATTATCAAGTCACATTTAGTGAGCAAAATTGAAACCATTGAAATGTTTCCTTAATAACGTAAAGTAAATAAATGAATAGCTGCTGTCACAATGATTCATCTATTGCATGTGGGTGCTCAATAAATGTTAATTGAATTAAATTAATAACATTTGCTCAGCGGTAATAAAAAATTAATTAACTGTCTGTCTTCCTGTTGCTTAGTTTATGCCCACTGGTTCTTGCAATTGCTCCTAACCCAAACAGGAATTTTTCTATTACACTGACTTTCAAGACACACTTTAATTTTTTTTTCTAAGAACTTTAAGGGAAGCTCCTAATTTTTGTCCCCATTTTGGTTTATATTTTTGAGGTGGAAAAAATTATTTTCTCTGTGTTAATGTCAAGAACTATGTATAACATCCCAAATATAGCTTCCTAGGTTCTTTATTTAATTCTAAAATACCATCCCGTGAGAGGATATGATGCCACTTTTCCCTATGTTCCTCCTTTTAGCCCATGCTGTTTTTTAATACTTTGGAGACAATGTCAAATAACACTGTAAAGGAAGGAATCTGGGGGAATTATTGTTAGCATTCAAGCTATAAAAAAAAATAGAAGCTGTCAGTAACATTCACCCAAAAAAAAAAAAATGTGACTCACTTCAGATGTCAGAATTCTGGGTTGAACAGACCGGGCTCTGAATCGTGTGTGTGTCAGATGATTTTTTAATGAGCATCAGATAGTTCCCACTGGGGGATTAAAAAAATAAAAATATAAACAGAGATCTAGAGTTAAAATAACTTTATGAATGGCAGTTTAAATTCTCCATAAAATTCTCCCTGTGCAAACCTGGTGTGCTCCAAATGGTTGCTTAATGTAGCAAACCACTTACATTCAAAATGCTATACTTAAAAAAATGCTGTACTTAAAAAAGTTGTCGCAAAATTAAAAAGAGAATCATATACCTCTTGGCTGTAAACTGTACTCTCTGCATGTTTTACATTCCAGTTACCGCTATCCAACTCTTCTTTTTGGTTGTTACCGAATTACTTTGTGCAAAAGCGATTCAAATTACATGCGGTCTGACTGTGCGTGATAATTTGAACTGATTGTTAGTGAATTCTGTTAAGCAAAGAGCTGCTACAGTCTCTATAGTCATCCTGGTTTGCTACCAGCTCCTTCCTGAGCTGCCTTTGTATGGACAAGACATGGTAGCTGTAGCTGAACAGGCAGTTCCTCAAGTGTGCAAGAAATCAGTCGTACTTCAGCGTGCAGAGAAAGAAAGTCTGTCAAATTGAGTTATTTGCAAGACTGGCTTTAGGGTGTTAATACATCTCAAGTTTTAGGGTACAGAGGATATTGTTGCTGTGGAGTACAACACTAAAAGACAGCTACTTGAGGTAGAGATAAAGGATACGCTAGAGACATATATAATATTTATAAAAAACAAAGATAAAAACAAAAATTTTGGGGTCTCTACAGCAGTGGTTCTCAACCTTCCTACTGCTGTGACTCTTTAATACCATTCATGTTGTCGTGATCCCCAACCATAAAATTATTTCTTTACCACTTCATAACTATAATGTGGCTACAGTTATGAATCACAATGTAAACATCTGATACGTGACCCCCCAAAGGGGTTGCGATCCACAGGTTGAGAACTTCTGCCCTAGATTGAGCTCAGTTGACTACAGAGAAATATTTGGGCAACTTACCTAAGTAAAGGTTCTAAGCTGGAGTGTTCTCATTCATCTACTGATTTCAATTTTAACTCCAATAATTCACCTACTAATACTAACTGCTACTTTTCTCATGTCATAAAAAAAAAGCCAATAGTGTGGCTATCTCCTAGACTCTTGCATCTGGGCATTTTAACAAGGCAAGGTATACAAATAATAACATAGATTTTAGTGCCTAATGGATAAAGCAGGCACTAATACACACGTGTTTGTGCACACAGCAGTGGTCTTTAACCTGGGAAACATTGTCCCAGGAGAGAAATCTGGTAAGGGGAACAATGATTTTTTTTTTTTATCATCATAGCTTGGGGAGACAAAGTGTAACTGGTATCTCCTGAGTAGAAGATGAGAACACTCGTTTGTATATCCATTGTCTGGCTCAAAATCTGGGCACTGCTAAGCAATTGAAGGCAGTATTTGAATAGCCAACTCAGTGGGTAAACGACTGGTTTTTGGATGCCCTCATTCCCAGTAAGGAGAATAAACCCTCCTTTTCGCCATGACCATCACCCCCATCATTGTGCTATTAACATGGCAAGTGCTTCTTGAGTTAGAGGAAGCCTAGAGTTTGCCAATGTGCGGTGCCAATTCTATTTCCACATTCAGTGTTCAATACTACATTAATTGCTGTCAACAATAGATGTTTTTCCCGAATCCCTACTTCTGCCAATCTTTTTTAGGGTGGATTAAACCATCACCAAGAGATTTAAAGCCAGCAGCATATGGGAAAGGGAATAAAAATTAAACATTGTCAAAAACCAAGGCTGTTTGGAAAATCGGAAGGAAACAAAAATGGCCCAGGATGATTGTGTGTGGCAGACTGTTTGGTCTGCTTCCAGCTCAAGCCTTCAGAGAGAGACCATCTCTGGTGGGTTTTGAGAGCCCTGATTGACAAGTATGTCGGTTGTTCTTTCTATTTCCTCCCCTCTCCAGAGAAGAACTCCTTAGAATCCCCAGGGTTGTCCGAATGTAGGGATCACCTGAGAAATGTCAGTGAAGTCCCCAAGGGATAATGATGAGTCAATTGGTCTGCTGGGGACAACGGTATCTGAGCTTTTGAACAGTTCAGAAACATTAGATTTCCCATCTTACTGGATTTTGTAGAAGCTTCAGGGAATCACATTCCTCAAAGGTAGGGCCAAGCAGACATTGCTTTCCCAGAAAGGAAAAGGCAGTTTTGAAACAGGTAATAGATGTGGACTTAGGAAGAGAGGATTTCCTACATGGAAGTGGATTGTCTTAGCAAATCATGTCCATCTCCTTCTCGTCCCCTCCTGAGCACTGTTGAGTCAGCCCAATCGTAGGCTTGCTATAGGAATGAGAGTCCTAGAACACATTTTCTGTTTCTCAATAGTGCCACCTGAAGGTGTCCCGGAGATCCACCTGGTGGCATGTTTGTGAATGTATTTCGGTGTTTCTTCTGTTTCCATCTCAGGACTTTGCTTACAGGTATAGGTATGTTATATATTAAGTTGCCCTCCAGCCTCATCCTCTCTCTGACACAGCAGGGTTGAATTCTATTTCTCTACAGACTCTCATTTGCTAGTGTGGGATGTTTGTGACAGAGGCACCCTGAATTCCAATGTTCAGTCCACTGTTGGCTCCATAACAAACTCTTTCATTATGTAGATGAGTTCACGGGCCTTCTCCACTTTCCATTTGCCTCTTCCACCTGGAGCCTTGGTCAGGACATTGGCAGGAGTTCCCCCCAAATCCCCTGATTACCCCACTAATTTCATACACTAAGGTATTATAGTGATATTTCATTTACATTTTAATAAATAAAGCCTGCCTGAAGATCAGAGAGTAAAACAGCCCCACTGGTCAGCCTTACAGACCAGGCAGTGATGACACACACCTTTAATCCCAGTAGCCACACTAGTTTGCCATAGAAACTGGGCAGTAGTGGTGCACACCTTTAATCCCAGCCCTAGAGAGGAATATAAATGGGAGGAGACAGCTTTCAGACACAGTCTCATTCTGAGATTCCTGGAGGCAGGATCACCATTTCAGACTGAGGTAGAGAGAAGAGCCAGTGGCTGGCTGTTTTGCTTTTCTGACCTTCAGGTTGAACCCCAATAACTGCTCTGGGTTTTTATCAATTGTGCTATAAGGTATGTTCTCCAGAAGACACCTCTAAAGCCAGAGAGGCTATCACCTGAAATGCCCATAAAATGTGATTGCCTGGATCAAAACATCTCATTTATGAAAAGAGGGTGTGTGTTTCCAATCTTTTACTGACAGCAAGGATCCACCTTGTAGACTGTTCATCTGCACGAGGCTTGTTTTTCCCCTAAGTAGAAGGAATGTGAGGTTTGTAGATAAAGAAGCAAGAAAACAATGAATAGTGATTTTATGGAGACCATCAGAGAGTATCAGAGTCTCCTGGTTTCTCATGTCCATCATACACCACGGGGCTGACACAACACAGTGACAGCTTACTGGTCCATACAAACGAATTCTTTGGTTTGCCCCACTCCCCATCCTAAAAGCTGATAGTAGAAAAATGTGGTACAAATTAATATGAACCTTACAATGTATATGAAAGTTTGTGATTGGACTTTTCAATTCTATCTCAAAATAATCTTGCTCAATAATGTTTTATTCCATTTCATAGGATTGTATTTTTTCAAAGTGTAAAATGTGAATTTTCCTGCAAGGGTCCTTTTGAAGATCACAGTGAGTTTGTGATGTGTGTTTTCTTTTCTCATTTTAGATACGCAACTTACGAATGAAAAGCATGGAGAAGAGAAACCTATTAATGCTATCATTATAAATTCAGTATCTGAATTCAGTATCACAGATGGACCAGTCCAGGAAAGCCCCAATGAAAAAAACCTGTCAGGATCGAGCACTTCACTCTCCTCCCTCGAAGAATGCCAAACGAAATTTCCCTACCTCCAAACTAATACTTCAGTTCATCAGAGAGATGCTGATGGTATGTTTCTCAGACTCCAGCCCATCTCTAAATAAAGCTCCCAACCCCACTCCTTGTAAAATCACTACATATGCTGTTAGAAAGAGAGAAAAAAAAGTCTTTATGAATATTAAATAGGATGATTTTGAATTGAAAACCCTGCTGAATGACATGTGTCAAGGTCACTTTGTAACTAGGAGGTGCTTGCCACAGTGTTTGCTCCCAGACCTGGGAATTGGAGGCTGTGTTTTAAATAGCTCAGACCAGAGCAGCGTGCTCAGATGGGGCTGAAAAACCAGTAAAATAAAATAACAATTTCTCTTCTCCGAAATGAGACCATTCTGCCCGTGGCTCTAAGAATATGGGGCAAGGGGAGAACAGAATGGAAAAATAATAAAATGCTAGAAACAACACACACGCGGGAGTGGCGAGATGGCTCAGTCAGTAATGTGCTTGCTATATAAGAATGGAGACCTGAGTTCAATCCCCAGAACCCACATAAACAAGCTTTCAGTGGTGGTACGGTTTTAATCCCACCACTGGGGAGGTGGAAGCAGCCAGATCCTTGGGTCCCTCTGGTAAGCCAGCCTAGCCTACCTGGTGAGTTCTAGGCCAGTGAGACACATTGTCTCAAAAGCCAAGGTAGATAGCACTGCAGGAATGACTCTCAAGGTTGGCCTCTGACCGCCACACACATGTACAATCTCTACCCCAAATACAAATCCAAAACATCATATAAAATATCAAGGTGTTTCTTTACATTGACCATCTCTGGGCAAGGGTTGACTCTGGTAGCTAAGTCTCTAGGCCTTCTGATCAAGTACAGCCATAGATCAGCACACCCCATGTACTATGTACAACAAAGCCCATTGCAGATTGATTTGGTGCTAAACAATCAGCTCTGTCAAGTTCAAGCTCATGGATCTTCCGCCATAATAAATAAAGTTTAACTCAGAATAACTTTGCAATTGTCTCTCCAGGGAATATGAGCCACTCAAGAGTTCTGTAGTATTCCAAGTCTCTACCTGTGGCTGCATTAAAAAAAAAAAATCCCTGGACTTCTCAGAAGTATTGTTTCTTATCTGTGCCTTATATTTCATTCCTGAAAATGAGAAAAAGGTTAAAGTTTGTATAAAAACCCCTTCATCATCACAGTGATTTAACTGCTGATTCTGAAGTTCATTAATTGGCTGAAAAGGGGCAGGTTTGGGGTTTGCCTTTTTTGTTTTAACATCCCAACCCCAGCCTCTTAATTCTACACCAGGGTTAGCAACAAGGCACTGGCTAGTGGGGCTCCAGGGGAATATGTGCACAAAGCACCTACTGCAGAAGCTGGCACACAGAAATTCCGAGTCAGCTTTTCTTATGATTGCAGCTTTTGAGGGGAAAGGAAAACTTGGACCATTGCTGTAGACACGCTGTCTTATTCAAATGTTGATAGGGATGCTTAAAGGCGGAGACGAGACATGGGGTTGGTTAGGATTCCAGGAAAGAATGCTTATAATGAAGCTGGAAGCAAACAACAGGGAATAGTGGGGACTGTGGGAAACCGAAGGGATCTCAGCTAAAGGTCATTAAACATCACTTGTGAGAGAACAGCCGAGTTCGTCAAGTGTTTTCTCTCATCACAAGGTTCCAAGGCTAGATCTCCAGAACTCATGTGAGGAAGGCAGCATAGTGGTGGGTTTCTAATAACAGCACTGAGGAGGCAGAGGTAAGGGCACCTTCAGCCAATCAAGGCCACTTGATAGCTCCAAGAGAATGCGCGACCTTCTCTCAAGGGAGGTGGATAATGTTCCTAGGGATGACTATTAAGGTATTTCTTCAGTCAACAGAGAAAGAAGGAGGGAGGATGGGAAGAGAGGGAGGGAAGGAGGGAGAAAGAGAGAGAGAGAGAGAGAGAGAGAGAGAGTAATTTCTTTCACCTAATTCAAATCAGAGGAAACAATAGGTTTAGGTCTGCTAGATCTTTTTTTTTTTTTTTCTTTTTTAATTGAAACAGGGTCTCACTGTGTAGCCCTGGATGTCCTGGAACTCATGTTATAGACCAGGCTGGCTTTAAACTCACAGAGATCCACCTGCCTCTGCCTCCCCAGTGCTAATATTAAAGGCGTACACCACTCTGCCCAGCTGAGTTGCCAAGTCGTGATGTGATACAAAACTATGTAGAGAATAAGGATGTCATATGAAACTTCTAAATATTTTAATATTGATAATGACTTCTATTTACTTTCTGCCACACAAGTCTTCTCCATGTGTCTTTGGGCCAACTTTGATCTGTCGACTAGGGCTTCCGCCAAGTTTAACTTTGGTCCAGTCAGAGGGAAGGCAGGGAAACAAGCTGGGGGTGGGGTTGTCAGAAAGCATCTGAGAGCAGAGTGTCTCCATAGGTTTTCTGGGGAGGTGGGGAGGTTGCTCATTGTATGCGTCAGGGTAATGCATACCCCAGAATTAGAAACTGTCATACACATCCACAAACATACTATCCCTCACAGAGCATGTCCCTCTGTCCAGTTGGGTACCCCGAGAGAAGCCTGAGATCAGTTGTCTCCTGTCCCCAGGGAAAGGGGAAAATGACCACTCGGTTTAAATGGTGACTGATATCTCAAAGCCTGTGCGGAAAAATAAGATTTCTCCTGTTCAGATGAGCAAAGGGGGATCAGGAGGATGTTTGAAGGAAGCCGTTTATTATATTACAAGAGGTAACTAAGACCAGTAGGACCCAGAAGGCTCGGGTTTTAAGGGGAGGATGTAGGTCATAGGCCACCCTTTCTTGCTCCCTTTGTGGAAAAATAAATCTCCCCAGTGAGATGAGAGCTTTTGGTGGCTGGATAAAAGAGAAAGTAAAAGACTCATACTAAGACTCACAAAACATAATTTAAAAAAAAAACACTCATTATCCTAAACAGCAAGGAAATCAACAGTTAAGCCAGCCACCCTCGCTTTAGGGAAGTTTTGATAGTAATTTAAGGGTTGAGAGATTGAGAAGTGGGGATCACTGTTCAAACCGAGATAAATACAGAAGTATCTGTTCAGAGCACAGAAGAAAACAGAAAGGCAACAGAGAAGACTGTGTTCGATTTCATGCAGTTCGTGGTTAATTTATTTTGAAAAGTGTGACTGAGTGCATGGGAATGGACACTCAATTACTAATATCTGTATACATCACCTCCGCTTAGAACAGGGTGGGAAAGGCTCTCATAGGCGTATTTTGTAAAATGTGTTGCATCCATTAGCAGAGTTCACAGGGTGTGCTCTGATGGGAACTTAAAAGGATCTTCACTGACCCTTGGTCTGTTCTCCGGCACGATGTCAGTAGCTGCGGTTCATGATGTGTGGTCTCTTTCCAGAAGGAAACGGAAAACACACCCAGGGTATCCTGCATGCACCTGCTTCCGTGTCCATAATTTTCTACTCCCATCACGTGGGAAAGGAAGCCGGGGGGACACATCACCTTAGCTAACAGGCTCTTTCCTGGAAATATGCCTAATTGATGTATAATTTGGAATTTCAGACATCTTCTGCAGGTAGAAGGAGAAACTCATAAATACAAGATACCTGCAAAGAATAGTCTTAATTACACCATGGGCTACTGAATAAAATGATTACATTTTCTACACTGTAAATTTCATACAATTAAAATGTAGTGGTGTCACCTTATAACGTGTTTCAATTTTATAATTATTTCAGTTCATTGGCTCAGAAAAAAACATAAGCACAAATTTACCAAGTATCACCCAAATCTAGTCATTCTACTTCTAAAAGGAGTGACATGGATGTTAGTTGTGCTTGTCTGAGCTTAAATAGATCTTGACATACTTAAGGAACTGTTCAAATTGATAGCACCGGGGATGAGAGCCTGACTGGAGACAGGCATTCTGTTACACTTTATTTATTCGTATTCGACGTTACAGACATGTATTTATAAAGAACTTCATGCCAGGGGGTGGAAATCAGTTTTTATGCTTTTGAACCCAGAATCTTCAGGAGTCAGTTGATGCTCTTGGGTTGCAAGTCTGCCAGTAACAGAACAGAGCTATACTGAGGCCCTGGGCCGGAGGGCCAAGATCAGCTGGTTCTTTTCTCATCCTACTTCGTTCTAAGGAAGTAATGGGTGAGGTTATTGTTTCTCCGCATCACTTTTATAAGAACTACACTTGGGACACTTTGTTTGATGACTGACAACGGAGCAAGAGGTTGAAGTTAAAAATGTCCTAGGACCCGCCAATGGCAACAAGAGACGCCCCTGGTCTCCATGCTTCTCACGCAAGGACATAAAGTTGAGAGGGTAACACCAAGAAATGGTGATGAGGCCGACCCAGGCACACATGTGGAACGTCTTGCCTTTGTTATCATTTCCACTCTAATTAAACATGAGCCTTTCTAATGAGACACATTCTCCCTCTTAATTAGCCAATCCCCAGCAGAATGTTTAGCGCCTCGAAGCTGCCTTAATACTTCAGTGCTATTAGACTGTCGCCATTTAGTGCATTCCAGCTCGAAAGTACCCTAGGGGATAGAAGGAACTTGAGACAAGGCTCAGAGGGACTTGCCAAGGCTTCTTGCTCACAGCTTAGCACAGCCTTCGCAGCTTGGCCTGCAGGTCTTGGATTATCTCCTACTGCCTTTATTCCGGGTTTAGGAGGAGAGACGGGGTATTCTGACAGCAGTGACGAGAGACAAAGGCAGGGTACCAGCTGGTTCAGTAGAGGGGATTTCCTGTGCAAAGGGGTTGCAAAGGTGCAGAGAGTTGAAAAGGCTAGTGCTGCAAACAGTTGGGTAACCCAGAAATCCACACCACGAGATGGCCCTATCCGCCCTGGACTCTCCAGACCAATATACTGACCATATGCTAGACCCCTACCAACTAACTGGGACTAGATGGTGGCTGTTTTTATTCAGAGTCTTGGGGAGGAGGGCTGAAGAGAAAGGTGTGGAGAGGGAGAGGGGAAGAGTGAGGAAGAGAGAGGAGAGAGAGAGAGAGAGAGCCAACACGAAAGACAATACGTAACATAGAAAAT